AGGCGGAAGCGGAGGAGGCGGAGGAGGCGGAGGAGGCGGAGGAGGCGGAGGAGGCGGAGGAGGAGGAGGAGGAGGAGGAGGAGGAGGAGGAGGAGGAGGAGAGGGAGGAGGTGGGGAGGTGGGGAGGAGGAGGAGGAGGCTGAGGAGAAGGAGGAGGAGGAGGAGGAGGAGAACCAGAAAAAGAGGCAGGAGGATCATGCCGCAGGGGTAGTAGCAGGGTTGGTTTTGGGCCCCGGCCTCCTCATGACTCCTCGGGTTCTCATGCCCCGCTCTCTTTGCATTCAGGCGACCGATGTGATTCGGATGTTTGAGAACGGTATGAGCAGAGGGACCGCACAGTGATACCACATCACGGGTGTCCGAGTTGCAAGCCGACGCCGTCGTTAGCATTGATGTTTTTTTTCTTGATACGTGTTTTTCGGTCTAGAAGTCCCCTCTCCCCACGGTCGTGGGCCCGCCAGGTGCCCACCTGGGGCGAACCCCGAGGTCGTCGCACTCGGTTTCCTAGGTCCATAGACACTGAAGCGGTCCGACGGCGTCGGCGGGGAGCGACGGGCTTCCGCCTTCTCGAGGGGCGCGACCTGCCGCGACGGCAGGTGGCAGGGCGACGGGCGGCCTCGCCCTTCGAGACGGTCTGCGCGCGGTCGCGGGCCAGAAGCACCCCTGGGTCTGGGGCGTGACGTCCGCGCCGGAGCGCCCGCGCCCTCCGGGGGCCTACCGGAGCAGGCGGCCGTGGTGCGAGGCGGTGCCCCGCCGGGCGGGGCGCCCGCTCGTCGGGCTCTGTGCGGCGGGGGCCTGGCCCAGGGCACGGAGCCTGGCCCAGGGCACGGAGAGACGGCGGAGGAGCTGGCGGCACTCCACGGATGGCGCAGGTGCGTGCAGTTACGTGGGGAATACGGACAGCGAGGGCAGTGATTACGACTCCAGCAGCGGCGCCAGCTGCGTGGTCAAGAATGCGAACTGGGCGGACTGGACGGACCTGGAGCTTCGGATCGGTGTGCCCCAGCCTTGCGGCGCCCGGGGCGCGCCCCAGCATGCTGCACACGGTGCGGGGCGCCCTGAGGTCGCCCGTCCGGCGTGGGGTCGTCGAGCTCGCGCCGGGCTCGCAGGTGGAGGGCCGCCGCTGGCGGGTTGCCTCCGTTGCAGCGGTGGCTGCCAGCGGGCGGGGGGACACGTCCCCGAGACCGCAGCCCCGGCAGCTGACCAGGAGCCATCGGACCAGCCGATGAGGTGACGTCAGCGAAGGAGCCGTTGCTGCCCTTGCACCTGGCCGCCCTCGGCTGACATGGGTGGCGTGTCTTGCGGGGCCCACGGCACGAGGCACGTCGAAATTTGGCACCCCCGCCTCGCCATTTCCCCAGAATCAGCCGCCAGCAGACGGCCGCCATCCAGGACTCCGACAGTGCTTGACTGGGTGCTCGCGCACTCCCGCGAGCCCGCGCTCGGGGGCTGCGTCGCTTGTTTGTCGCCTCCGCGTCCGCCTCGCAGCCGGGCATTGGGGCCCACAGCGGCTCGGCGGCCACTTGTCAGAGCGTGAATTACTTACCCCGCTTTCGCTTCCAGGCAAAACCAAGTCATACCACGCGCCTCCTCGTCAAGCGGCCTGACCAGTACTGGCCGTAGTTTGGCATTGCTTGGTATCTCTTGGAAGCGAGGGTGGTCAAAAGCGGGGTAGGTTTGTTTGCCCCCCAACTTGTGCAGCAGGGCGGAGGGGTTTTGGCAGTGCACGGCCTCGCCGAGGCAGAGGTCCTAGAAGTGGTCGAGCGTCAGCGTCAGCGGACCAGATCCGCCGTCGGCGACTGGTCGAGCCTCAGCGTCAGCGGGCCGGATCCGCCGTCGGCGACGTGCCCGTTGGTTCGGATGAGAGGCAGTCGAGCACCTCGGCGAACGTCGTTGCCACACTGCACACTGGGGCATATGCACTTGCTTAGGGGCAGCTGCTGTGCCTGTGCTGGCTTCAGTTCCACGCTTTCCTGGATAGTCACTCCATTCCGTTTTTCTTACCTGCCTCTCTCCCCTTCCTCCCCTTCCTGCCCTCCTCCTTTTTCCTTCTTCCCGTCCTCAGGGGGAGAAAAACACACAGACACAATTAATCGCCGACTCCCAGGAAAGTATGGGAAATATGGGAAGTGGGGAGGAAGACAAAAACCCAGAAAATATGGGAAACTATATGGGGAATCCTTTTCTTTGTGTGTATTTATTTGGGTGTCCCAGGGTCCCTTCCCGTCCGCCTCGTCCCCTCTCCATCCTCCTTCCTCTGTAGGCCCCAGGGGTAGCTGGCAGAGCGGGGCTAGCGCCCGATCTTCCTTTGCGTGCTCTTGGGAGCTCCCCGGAAGTTCCGCCCGGAGGCTTGTCCCACCGGCGCAGCTCAAAGCGCCGCACGCCGGGACGCGCACTGCAACAACGCCCAGCATCTTCGGCAGCAGACTGCTGGCGCCTGGTATGCCCTCTGTGATTCCGTCGACCAGCGTTGAGTCGGGCGTGTCCCCTTACAGGGGGATTTTCGACAAAAAATATTCCAAAATAGTCCCCAGACTATTTTTTGACTATTTTTCAATATTCCCCCTGTAGAGGGACAGGCCCGACTTAAGACTAGCGTCGATGAGCGTCTGGGAGTCGATGGGATCGCCCGACCTGGCGCCGACCAGCATCGATTGACATCGATCCAGCGCCGGCTCGCGTCAGTTCAGCGTCGACGGGTGTCGGTTCGCAAGAGCCGACAGGATGGTTCGGGAGGCTCGAGCTTGCATCAAGCCAAGAACCCCCCCCTCTTCCTTGTGATATGGATGCGCGCGCGGCGCGAATCTTTGGGCGAAAGCGAGCGCGGCTCGAGCGATCTGCGTAGCAGTAAGGCCAAAGGGCCCTGAGAAATCAAAATGGCAGCGGCGAGCAAGGAATGGAACCACAGGCCCCTCGAGGCTTCTGGGGAAACCCTCTCGGGCCTCTTACATTCCTGGGGAGTGAGCTTGATTCACGTTCCTGTGGCTGGTGGCCCCGGCCGCGAGGCCCACAAGTCGTCCTCGAGGAGCCGGAGGTCCTCGGAGTGCGCCGCCGGCGCGGGGCCGCGGGGGTGGCGGCCCCCGCCCCGGACGGAGGGGCGATGCGGGGGGGGCGGCGGGCCTCTTAGACCTTGGAGGGCGGGGTGAGCGGAGGGGACAGGATCGGCCTCGCCCCAGAGTGCTGCTTATTCGTTGTTCTCTCTCTCTCTCTCTCCTCCTCCTCCTCTTCCTCCTCCTCCTCCTCCTCCTCCTCCTCCGCCTCCGCCTCCGCCTCCGCCTCCGCCTCCTCCGCCTCCTCCTCTTCTTCTCCTCCTCCTCCTCCTCCTCCTCCTCCTCCTCCTATTGTCCTGTTTCGCAGGCGCACTGGCTGTGAGCGCTTGAATTCAGACTTTTCCCGCCCACGCGCTGGACGGCGTATGGCTCCGTGCTCGTGCTCGTGCTCCCAGACGGGGTCGGAGTAGATGGGGTCAGAGGATCGCGCCGCATCGCCGATGCATCGGCGACGCGGCCCGATGCGGAGCCCGATGTGCTTCACGTCGACGTCGCCATTGCATCGCCGACGTCGATGCATCGCCGGTGTATCTCCGATGCATCGATGCGGCGCGGTCCTCCGACGCCATCTACTCCGACCCCATCTAGGAGGCCCCTACTAATGCTATGTGTTCGTCGCCCCCCCAGGGGCGACGCGCGCACCGAGACATCTTATGATCTATGCGTCGTGGCAGGCGCTTTCTGTCCACACCGCTCGGGGAACGATGTAATACAGTCGGCCCAGATTAGTAGGTGGACCCTGCCAGATCAAGGGTACCCTCATGTCCTGTGTCTTGCGAGCCATGCTTCCTACATTCCTGTGGCAATGTGGCCCTCGGAAGGGTCTTGTGTCCTCTCGCGTGTCCTGTCCAGTCGAGTCCGACTGTACAAGATGGGTATCCCATCTGTTCGGGTCGGACGCGCGCCTCCATGGAGGACATATAGTGCCAGTGTGTCTCTCTGCGTCCCATCCTCCCCCGGAGGGCTGGTCCCTTGCGGAGAGGGTGTAGGAGGAAGGAGGAGGGTAGTTCAGGGGGAGGCGCGGCGGACAAGGGAGAATGACACGTGAGAGGGAGAGACGGGACAAGCGAGGGAGAGTTGGGACAGGGAAGCGAGAGTGACGGGGAAGGAAACGATGCGAGTATTGAGGAGTGGTGACCGCCCACTGTGAGAGGGACGGGCCATCGACAGGCCTTGCCTTGATCGTTGTATGTGCTCCCCATGGCAATGCCAGGATTCTGGATCAATAGCTGATGCTCTTGTGCGGGGCAGAACGGCAGAATGTGCGCGCTTTTTCTCTGACGCTCGCTGTCAGCTACGACGAGCCTGGCGCGGCGGCTCGCTGCCAGTTTTTTTGTTCGGGTTGTGAGCGTTTGGCTTTTTTATTGCTCCGAGATGTCATCAAACCGCGACCCCTTTCGGACCCCGAGCTTCAATGCCTATTCTGACCCCAATTTCCACCCGTCCCGACTGTGGTGGCCCTCGAGAGCCCTGAGATGCTTCCACACGGGGGGAACGGGCAGCAGCCACGGCCGAGGGGCTAGTCGTGAGTCGGTTCCCTAGGCGGTCACCCCTCATACGCCCGCGCGGCGTCTGTTGGGGTTCACATGGTGTCCCCCGTACGCTTGCGTACTCCTCATATGGTTCGTGGTTTAATAGGCGTCCTATTCTTGTCACCATGCGTTTCGACATTATTGTGGTTCGACCGATTGACACACCGACGAGGAGGCCGAATAGGAATACGATTGGTGGAGTAGACTGGAGGTGGTGAGAGTTGAAAGGGGGGAGAGGGGTAGGGCGTTGGCGTTGGACTTGTCTTGGTCTGAAACGTTGCAAGTTCGATTCCCTGGCAGTCTCTTTTTTTCTGTCTCGCTCTCTCTCTCTCTGTCTCGCTCTCTCTCCCACCCTCTCTCTCGCTCTCTCTCTCTCTATGCTCTTTTTTGTTGAATGTATATGTATATATATATAAATACATATGTGTCTATGTGCAGTCCCATGGGCCTCCTTCTGTTGTTCCCCCTGCTGGTTTTATCAATCTCTCCATCTTCTCCTCACATCCTCTCTGTCCTTTCCTGTTCCTTCATGTTATATCCCGCTTCCCTCTCGCCCTTGCCTCTCCCTCCCCGTCTCTCCCGTGCACCCTTCCTCTGTCATTTTCACTTTCTCTTTCTTCCTCTCTCTACCTATCTTTCTCTCTCTCTCTCTCTTTTATGTGTCGTCTCTATGTGTATTCCTCTCCGTCCGGTTGTCTTGTTCTTTGTTGTTATGTTTGCCTGTCTGTTTTTCTCTCAATCACTCTCTCTCTCTCTCTCTCCCTTTCGTTATCATGTTTGTTCGCCTCTCTCTTTCTCTCTCTCTCTCTCTCTATGTTTTTCCAATATGTGTGTATAAAGACGTGCGTCAATCAATGTTTTTTCCCCTTTCCGTCCCCCCCACCCTGCCCACCCATGCGCCTGGCGAGGTACCTGAGGCCGGTCAACAGCAGAATCAGGCTGCCGCGCCTCGCTGGATTGGCGTTTTAGTTCGGCGAGTCCAGACGCTCACTTGTCGAATGCACGCACACCGAGGAGCCCAAAGGGTTCCATGGCCAAGAGGACCATGCGGAGGAGATGGAAGGACAAGGAAGAGGGAGGGTGAATAAAAAGGAGAGGATGGATGGTAAGGGAGGGAGTGATGAGGACGACGGGGAAGAGGCGAAGGATACGCGTGGTGACGGTCGGACAGAGGAGGGAGGAGATATGGGGAATGGGCAAGTTTGGCACGCTCTCGCGAGATCAGACATCCGGCCATTGTCATCATCCCTTGTCATTGTGCTGGATTTTCTCGTATCCACTGACTGGGATCTACTGGAGGACCTTGATCCGTGTGGTTGTCATGCCCATGTCAGCCTTTCCTTTTCCTGCGCCTCTCTCGGTACTCCCTTGTGTGCCGCCATTGTGGCTCAAAAGGGTCCTTGATTCACCTGGGGCGCAGGCGACGGGCACCGTAAAAGGGAAAAGAACGTGCTCTCTCATAGCACGGGTCCCCTTACTTGTATTTTGTGCCTCTCTGTATGCCATACAGTTACTCCCGCGGCCTACAGTGGTAGCGGAGCCTGCATGCCGATTCCCTAGTCATTCGATTCTAGGGTGACACATTCCTTACTCTCCTCCTGTTCTTACCGCTTCCTACCCTCCTGCACCGAGCGCCGCCATGGATCTTCCAGACGGCGCTCAGCCTCAAGAGTATGGGTTTCCATTCTGTCCTTGGCTACAGCCGAGACAGGATGGATCCGTGGGCAGGTGGCGGAGGACGAAATGACGTTCTCCGGGAGAGTGATGACGACGTGGGCTGGTTAGGTCAAGACTGGGCCCGCTGGTTTTCACAGCCCTGGACGGAGACGCAATCATCCTCATCAGGTTGGAACGCGCGGGGGCGAGGTTCGCCGGATGCACCAGGTCTGCAGGAGTAGCCGTTTGCGAGGACAGGCTATGCCGTTTACGCCTTTTGTTCCGATTTTTTTGGGGTATACAAGTGCCAGATCTTCTGTTCGCCAGAGAGGACCATTTCCTGAATAATCGGAGGCCCCAATATACCAAACGACCTACCTCCCACTTGGGATGGAAAAGGTCCTGATACTCGCTTAGAGCCTTACATGACGGAGCTGCAGATGTGTCTCACTACTACCAGAACCCTGAAAACACAATGGGGGTGCCTCATCTACCGCTGCGGTAATGGTGGTCCTGATATCATTATCAACGAATTCACCGAGGACCAGCTGTTTCGGAGGACAGCGGGCAGGTTTTGGTCAAACATAATAAGAAGGCCGTTGCCGAGCACCCAGACCGCAGGATGCCGGAGGCTCTGGATTTTTCTATTCGGTCGACGCCAAGCGCAGGCGATCTGAATCCTTCTGTCAATTACATCGCTCGCAAGCGGGTGCTTTTTCCGGGAGCTGGAAAAGAGCGTGATCTTGCCAGAGGAACTGAAAGCGTACAGGCTTCTTGGAGAATCCAAGCTTGGTGAAGCTGCTTGGGATACGGAAGGGGTCACGTGATTTTGACTTGGCGCTCGAGAAGCTTGGGGAGCTGGTCCAACCATTGCCTTCCGGCACAGGCGGCCATCGTATCCATCGCGTGAGATTTGCTTCGCATTTTGTCGGGTACCCGGGGGGCGAAGACGGATGCGCGGACCAGGGGTCTGATCGCGATGACTTCCAGTGGGCTCTCATGGAACAGCCCTTATTTACCTTGCCTGAGCCCCATGGGGGGGGGCTCGATCCTGAGTACACTGACGACGAAAGCGCGCTCTTCGTAGCTGGGGGCCTGCCCGAGGATGCGCTTCTGGATGAAGACGAGGCTATTGCCATCAACGCCAACTACAGCCAGGTGCGACAGTAGCTGCACAAACGGAAGCTCCGACGAGGGCTCTTCTCACAGCCCCACGAAAAAGGCAAGCCCACAGGCCCCCGAAAAGGAAAGCGTCGACGGGGGCGAACTAGAAGTGTCCGACTGGCGCGGTGGACCAAAACCAAGTCGACGAGTCGTTCGAAATGCGCCCGACGCGGGAATATGGGGCGCTTGATTCGGGGGGGCGCGAGCGGCGAGCAAGCTTCGGCGGTTTGCAGGCGGTTCTTCTCGGAGCATGCGCCGCTCTGCGTGGCGCTTGTCGACGGGGGCCTACGGGCCAATCTGGAGTCTGTTCTTTCATCTGTCCTCTCATTGCTGATGCTGACACTGGTGGGCGCGTTTTCTTTGGACTTCAGGTTCAGATGGGTTCCGGCTCGGTGGGCACTGGAGCTCAGCGTGAGTCTGTGGCAGGAGGTCATCTCGATAAATTAGCGAGGTATCTTGGGGATGCCCGCGGCTTGAAGCAAGCGCAGATACTTAATATTGAAACGGGCGCCATGGGCGCCGGAGGATCCACCCAGTTTCTCTCCAGTTGGACCCTGCCTGTTGCCGTGGCAAAGAATTGCGGTGTTCTCGCGGTGCATCTGATTGCTTGTGACGTGCCTTCCTCGTTCCCGGTGGAGATGCGCAGACAGCTCGGCGCGGTTCTTGGCGCGCCGGGTGGCGTCGCCACCTGGGAGGCGCTCGACGGCTGCCAATCGAGGGTGCGCGAGGTTGTGGCAGGCGAGCACGTTTTGATCAATTTCTTTGATTATCCCGATGTACCGTGCGGAGCGCGTTCTCGTCAAGAAGGCGCCGCAGCAGCAACTTCCGAGCGCCCGCGGGCCCAGTCACCCCGCGATGGCCCCACAGAAGCGGACGTGGCCATGAAGGGCCGCGCGGAGACGCGCATCGGTGCGAACGCCTGCAAGAATCTGCTCGGGGGCGCCAGGGGTCTGGACCTAGAGCCGGCGCCGTCCACGCATCGGCCTCGCGACCGCCGACCTTTCTCGCGAGGTTCGGTGGGCAATGGTGGGAGTGGTTCGCGGTGGGCCAGAGGCTGGGGCCACTCGGCATGGGCGCCAAGATGGCCGATCAGGCCATGTGCGCCCGCCCCGAGAAGACAAAGCGCCACCGGGTCAACGCCGGGGCCCTTTGGTGGGCGCGCGACGACTGCCATATGCGCTGGACGAGGCCCCCAGACGAGGGCTTCATCTGCGCGGGCATGCCTGCGACCAGGAACGGGCGACGTTCCGGGTGCACGCGGGCCGCGCCTTCGAGGGGGTCTACGAGGTGGACCTCCAGCGCTGCGAGTGACGCATGAAGACTGATGAGTCAAACGAACCGGCGGCCCACGAGGACTCAGACGCCCTGCAGCGCGGGCGGCCGAACGTGAGTTGCGCTGGGACATCGTGGGCGGGGGCGGCTCTGAGACGTTTGCGGAAGGGGCCGACGTCCGGCGCGGGCAGAGAAATGTTTTCAATTGTCGCGGGGCACATGTCCGATTGCATCGCGGGCCCCGCGACGAGCTTTCTAATTCTGCCGACTCCGTCGGCTCACTTTCTGCAGGCGTTTTTACCAGCGAGCGGATGACAGAGGTTGTCTACTATGATGTCTCTGCCGAATTCATTCAGGACGATTGGTCGGGGCCATCTCGCGACCGTGCCTCGGCCATGGAACGAGCCGAAAGAATTCTCTTTCACCGCGACGACGCTACTGACATGATGTGTGCTGGCGCTCTGTTGGCGAGCATGTGTCTTCGGGGCGCCTGCCTCGGCCAGGTTGGGCAATGCAGCTTTCCAGATACTGCCAATGTGGGCCTGGCTGGCCCGGCATTTGGCGGGCGCGCGGCTGTGCTCCGCGGTGCCCCAGGTTGTTCGCGGCAGCCCGCCGCCTTGCAGGACTCGGTCGGCGCGGCCGAGGCTTGCGAAGTACAGTGGCGGCTGACCTTGCGGCGGGCCACCGGCGGGGCCTGCGCGCCATCTTCGGAGCTCGATGAGAACGACGTGGGCACGGTTTCCAATCAACAGGTAAAACCGGTCAAGCAGGCACTGCACTCTCAACAGTGACAGTCTCAGCCTTCCTCTGGAAGCCGCTCCTGATGAAGCTGGGCCGGTAGAGATTCCCGTCGACGATCCCTGCGCCGAACTTGGTTGCGATGGCGAAGGACCTGCTCGGCCCGACTGGGCACCTACGACAGACCAGCTGACCGATCGCAAACCTGCCCACTTTAATTCGGGTCCGGAACCAGCTGGAAGAATTTCTTTTTGCTTCGCCCCCATGGCGCGGCATTCTGGGCGAAGATCCCAACGACTTTGGTTTGATTGAACGACTGGCAGAAGTTCGTGGATTTGTTTGCGGACCTCCAGGATGGCGCAGACCTCGTCTGACAGCGTTCAAGGGGCATGGCTTTGCTCGCCATCCTCTGGCGCCCTGCGTTATGCTCATGCGCGCGAGTCGTGGCGAACGCCCCGAGCAATTTTCCAGACTCGCCGTCGTCGAACTAGATGATGCGTTGGGGGGCGGTATCGGAGACAGATTTGTCGATGCCATTTCTCTCCAAGAAGTTCAAATTCGGAAAATGGAATGAACTCATGGAGGGCGTCGGCGGTCGCTCTCTGCGACGCCGCAGAAACTACGACTTCGCCATCCCCGCGGCGCGGCATTTTGCAGAGAGCTCGAATTATGAGTTTCCCGCGGGGGCGTTGCGGGAAGTCTGACTTATTAGCTGTATTAGAGGAGATTTCAGCTATGCGCGGTTTGCGCGGGGAACTCAACTGGGCGCGCCGAGATGGCACGCCCGACGGCTCGGGGGGCGAACCTCTCCTGAGCAGCACCCTGCCCAACTCCAAGGTGAAAGGTCGCACCGAGGCAAATGCTGCATTGCGGCGCCTCAAGGGCGCCAACGCCACGATCGACATCAAATCCGTCCTCTTCTCGTTTCCGCCTGTGGTCTCTCTGTGCGACTCGGGCCTGGGCCTCCAGGGAGTGGGGCAGGGTCGCTCTCAGACCGGCAGCGTGATCTGCGCCGCGGACGCGGACTTCTCGTTGGGAAAGGAAGCTGGCGTCAGCATTACTGCCTGGCATTCCCATCAGACTGAGCGCGCTGGGAGCTCTGCCTTGA